AGGAAACAAAGTTATAACTTATAATAAAAATAACGTATCTACGGGTTTTACATTTTTTCTCTGTTATGCGGATGCCGGTGTTTGCTTAATTTCAGCCAGTCTTTTATCGCTTGAGATATTACAGAATCGTTCAAATCAAGAGGTTCTCTTCCTGAATATGAAAATTTTACAGCTTCTAAAAAATGGAAAAAGAATATAAATAATTAGTAGGTAGTACTTGCCATTAATAACTCCAGCTATTGTTGTTATACTAAATGGACATAATTATGAATAATTAATGTTAATTATGATAAATTAATTAAGAAATACCTACCACCTAGAAAGATAGGTACCTATATGAATTAACAAAAAAACAGAAGAAAATTTTAGAAATAACTCCAGAATATTAAAAATAAAAAATTGAAAAAGGAAAAAATTAAAAAATATAAAAATATTTTTATTGCGACAATTTTTTTAATTACATATTTTAATATGTATAAAGAATACTTTCTTTTGTATACAAAAGAAAGTATACTTTATACATATTACATAGTATATATACTTTTTTTTGTTAAAAATTTAAAATTAATAAGACAATTAATTATTTAAAAGTTTATTACAAAGACGTTTAAAAAAATATTTTTCTAAATTTACCTTACGAACAAATATTAGTTTACATTGTAAACTAATATTGGTTTTAATTTAATTTTGAAATGGGGTAAATATTTAAAACATAAAAAGATTCTAAATTTTAGAACAATAAAAATTATATGGTAAAAAAATAATAATTATAATTATAATTATCATTGTTTATTTACTACTTATATCATATTTTTAGTGTTTTAAAATTTAAATATTATAATTATTTTTAATATTCTAAAACTTAATATTTTTTTATTTTAAAAATATATAAATAAAAAAGATAAAAGTTTAATGGTCTGGCACTTTAAAAACATAATTAATTTAAAAAAAAAAGAAAAAAAAGTTTTTATATTTTCCGGAAATTTTGAATCTCTAGTATAGAAAACTAAAATTTCCTGCATACGGTCACCCTTTTTAACAGGCAGTATGTAAACGGTATACAGTATACAGTATATATACGTATACGAAACCTTTACTTGACACTAAAAAATCGTTTAATTTATTTGACTTGCCAAATTTTAACATATAAAGATAAAAGTACCTACATGAATGCATTCATGTAAAGTTAAACAAAAGCTTCTAAAAGATAAATTAAAAACTTACCCTCAACTCCTTTTCCAAAAGATAAAAAGAACTAACCCTTAAATTTGTTATCCACGTGTAGTAAGATACTTGCCTTCTTTTTTCTTCTGTAATCGAATAAAACCATGTATAAAAACAACAATTGAATACAGCAAATCTTTTTTAAAGTATTTAGGCACACTTACCTAGATAATTATAATTACTTTGCAATGCCTGGAGCCCGGCGTTTTCACTTCACAACAGGCTTTTCTTACAAAATGACGCCACGGGCGGAACCTGTAGCTGTTTGGGTTAAGACGCGACATCATTGGGTAAATTTAATCATGTGACTAAATTTTGCAGTGTTCAATATAGGTTTTGTACACGTATACTGTATACGGTATACAGTATACCGTTTATATACCAGATTGTGTAGTGTGGAAAATAGGTATACTTTATACCATTTAAGTACAAAATTTAAACACGTGTTATATACGTTTTTAAAATTTAGTTTTTTTAATAATTTCTTAATTACAGCTCAAATTTATCCGATATTCACAAAACAAGTTTTGTAAGGGCCTATCATACTTTTCGAGTCAGAACCATTAAAAAATTAGGCTTTTATTTGACTTCGTGTCAAAAATGGAATATTATATACATATAATATATGTTTCTTATATACGTTAAAAAAAGTAATATATTTTTTGCTATAATATACGTATATGTTACGATAAATTCATCATTTAACTGAAGTTAAAGTCCTATAATATCCGTATATTAAACGTTTCATATAAAAAAGTAATATGAAAAACGTATATTATTTATACCTTTGAAATGTTATACGGTTTTTATACGAACAATACGTTTAATAAACGTATATACTACAGAGCCGTGTTGCTTGGGAACATATAAATTCATAAAAAAATAGCAAAAAAGTATAAATGAAGATTATTTAATTTTTTGAAGCGAAATTTGAAATATGTTACATAACCTTCTGTATATTCCGATTAAAGTTTTGTTGTTTTTTTTATGAATTTATGTGTTGTTTTCATATTCATTATGAGTGAGAAATCATAATAATTTTAAAAAAGTTCTTAGTGTAGGGAAATATAATGATAATAAATAGAAAAAATCAATCTAAATAAAATTATGGGTTGGTATTTATCAATTTCTTACGTTTTCAGTTATAAAAATGGCAGTAAATTCATTAAATATTGGTTGGATAACTTTTTTTTATGAATCAGCCCTTTTTTCTACTACTTTTGGCAATTTGCTCGAAAAAATAAAAAAAAACGATTTTTTTCAAAAACTGTCCTTTGACGACTCCTACTGGTGAACCAATGCGAGTTACAAAAAAAAACTCAAAAGCAATTTTAAAGAGCGTGAAATTCCCCATAAAGTGTATTAAACCGATTTGCAATATTGTCAAAGGTGGGTAAGCATTAGAAATTTGAGATGCAGATATTTTCGCTACACTAATTGAGGAGCATCCTTGCAAAACCGGCTATATCCACTTTAATAAAATATTGGGAAAATGGCAAAACTCTCGGTTTCCTGGCCTTTACAGATAAAAAAGCAAACTTGAGTTTTGTGGGCTTTGTGGTACTTGATTTATAAGACATACTTTCGTTTTCAAAATTTTTATATTAAGGCCAAAATTTCAAAAAATGTTTTGTATATAGCCGGTTTTGCTCAAAAACCTATGAATAAAATGTGAAAAAAACCTTTATTATTCACAAATATTAACAAAATAAATTTAGTGAAAACATGAAAAAACAGAACAAATTTTAGTAGTAGTATCGACATATCCAAGCCACATGCTCATCATCATTATTATTTATTGGATATAGCAGGGTTTGCTATAAAAACGTGGATTTGGCCGGTTTTGCTCTTAAAGCTACCTTTTAAATGTGATTTTAACATGGATATAGTCGGATTTAAACATAATTATCTTGTTGTCGATAGATATGAACCCAAAGATGCGAAATAAAAAAAAAACAAAAACTGAATAAAATTGATTTAGCCGGTTTTGCACGGATGCTCCTTAATTATCGTTTTTAAATAAGTTAAATGTATTTAGCTATTCCTCAATGACGAGCTGTGGGCATTTTAGTCACGGGCTGAAGTGAGGTTAAATTCGTCAAATGTCAAATATTTATGAAATAAAATTGGCTTTAAATTTTTGTTTCTGTCCGTCGTAGATAAAGTATAGTATGCAACTCGTTTTATAAACTTCTCTAGACACTAGTTTTTATTAAACACTCGCTCGCAAGCTTCGCTTGTGCCTAATAAAACTCGTAAATAAAATGGAGTTTATTAAACTTGATACACAATATGATATTATATAAAATATGCCACAGAACATAGGTGATTGACTTAAAACTGCATGCGCGACACGTCTGCGCTATGTCAACATTGCGACACGAAATCTGGGAAGTGCGACTTCTGCCTTCCTCTGTTCTGTGGTCAAAGTACTAAATCATACTTTAGTGGGTATGCTTAACTACGAATTTTATTTTTTTCTAAAAATAACTGTTAAAAGATTTTCTGCGTCATTAGCTGTACTGAAGGACATTTTTTTATTGTATACCTAATATTTTATTGAATCGTATAAAATTTTATATGATTTTACAGAAATAAACAGAATATGTAAAAAAAGTAATCGTATTAAATTTGAGTTAAACTCGTAAAAATATCGTTTAATGTAATAAAAAAAATTAATTTATCGAAATCTCTTGTCAATAATTTTCACTTTTCTCTTTTCAATCATTTTTACTCCTTCAATAATACAATAAAAATCACATATTTTTGAAATAAACAATTCAATTTTATAAAAAATAATGATAATTTTGCTGAAAAAAAAACAAGTTGGTAAATAACGGACACTCTAATCCATAGATAGCTGCAGCTATTTTAGTTTTCTAAATTTCAAGTAAATTAGCCAAGCCCAAAGAAAATAGGTTTTATAACGACAGCTTGGCTTGTTTATACAGCTAGTTTAAAAAGTTAGTTTTCTATTTATTTATATTATTGCTTATATAAATAGGAAAAAAAGACCATTATTCATTGACTTTCCTATAAAAATGGGAATCCCTATTAAAAATTATTTTTTCTGCTCCTACCTTTAAAACGCCATGTTTTCATGGTAACCTTTTAAATACACATTAACAAGTTGTGGCTTTATGGCGATTTGGTCACTGGCTGAAGTTAGCAACAGGTCACGGGCTAAAGTTAGTTTTAAGTTAATTGACAAATGTAAAATGTCATACAATCGTTAAAATAAAGTGCCCATCTTGTAAAATAATACTAAATGTAAAAATTATTGTATTATCTCAATACAAAAAATATAAGTTTATATGCACACTGTACTGACCTGACCGGCAGTAAACTAGATTTAACTTAATTTCGGGTGAAGATTCCATAAAACATTTTCTTTACTTTCACTGTGAAAAACTGTTGTTAGTCCATTTTCAAGGGATACATTTCGATTTACACATAAAAATTTGACATTTTCATAGGCGCCCGGTAAAATAGATTCACACTCTTAGGGTTACTTTATTTTTGTATACATGTCGCTCTATAAAAATATTTAATGTAAATCATTTTTAGATAAAAATAAGTATTTGTCGTAGAAAAAGCAAATTGTTTATAAACTTTTCTAGATACTTATTCAATTAAGGACTCGCTCGCAAGCTCGCTCGTGTCTAAATTGAATTCGTAACTAAAATGGCATTTATCAAACTTGATACATAATATTCTAAAATATCACATCTTTTCATTAAATTACTACCTAAAAAACCGTTTGTTATATTTTTTAGAAGAAACCACGAACTCAATCAAGGACACGTCCACAAATTCAACGGACACTCTTATTAAAACAAACGATTACACAGAATGTGGGGGACATTGGAAATATCCAAGAAAGTGTAATTTAATTAATAACACTTGCGAGTATTCAGCAAAGTGGCAATTTTTTTCAAAAAAAGACGAAGTTAAATTTACAATTACCACTAGAAATACAGATACTTGGACTGGAATAGCGTTTTCAAATGATGAGAAAATGGTAAGTAATTTATACCAAAAATGTACACTTATAATCATGACCCTATTAAAATTTAGTACCAAATAGTTTTAAGAAAACTAAAGCAAGAGTAAATTTAAAGGAATCATTGTCGTTTTTAATCTAATAAATGCAGAAATGGTTAGTAATATCAATTTTCATCAACAACATACATCTCGAAATTTTACTTTTAATAACAATGTTCTCTAGCCTCATTGATAACAACCTTTCGCGGTGGCTAAGCTCTGGTTCCGACGGAGAATTGCTCTGTATATCCTTATTCTATTTCGCAATTCAGAGTCAGTACTTATTTACAATAGAATGATGGCTGTATTTAGACAAAAATCACTCAGTTCAATCAAATCCAATTCATCTAAAAATCGTGTTATCGTCGCAAAACCTGGACATTTCCGTAGTATTTTTTATCACAACGTTTCGACTTGACTAAGTATCCCCAATCGTCTTTAGATAAATACTGACTAAGTTAAGTAGCCACGAGTCTATTTTTATTAAAGCCGGATGCACTGGAGCATCCAGGTACAACTAAGCACATTGGAGCGTCCTTAGACGTTTCTTATCTCCAAACCATTTATGCTTGCATGCATGAATCCATCACACATAGATTCTCCAATAAGATTGGTTGCACCTGAATACTCCAGTGCACCCTGCTTGAATATAACTAGACCCGCAGCTACTTAACTTATTCATTATTTACCTAAAGACGGCCGAATTTACTTACCAGTCGAAACGTCGTAATTAATAAAACTACGGTGGAAATCCAAAAACTATCCTACATTCAAAAAAGAACATTGCCTACATTCTCTACAACCTTCAAACAAATCATACACTCACTCTCGTGACAATACACGAACTTGAAAAGGTATTTAAAACAACATATGGGTGGTTTTCAGTAACTTTTAAGATACCATGTCCCTGCTGTTTTAAAACTTAAACCTTTATATTAGCCATCATTTTTTTTTACCTTTTACTAGACAGGCATATTTTTTATCGATTTATAATATCAAAAGTTCAATATCCTATGAATTTATTTTTTAATTTTGGTTTTAAAACTCCTGTTTCACATGACCGTCGTATGTCCTTCGAGCAAAATCCAATATTTGCTATCTTAAAATTGTCTTAAATAGCCATTATTGTTGTCCCGACGTTTTCTTCACATAGCCGTAGAAGGACTCTTAGGTCGTCTATTTGCCGCTAGATGGTACTGCCTGTGTGAATTAAAATATTTTATTATTGCAAATGGCGACAGTTAATTGTGCAGTTGGGTTAGAGATATATTTACAGTTCCTGTCGTTTATTTTGATATAGAAAAGGTAAGTTAAAGTTCTTCGTATTTTTTTTATTAACATGACCGTCTATATATAGTGATAAAATAGCAACATAAATAGTTATAAATTGCTCGCTATGTTTTTTGTTATCGGTTGTTTACCGGTGGAAACTCTAACCTAAAATTCACAACATGGAGATACTTTTAATTTTGAGCAAATAAAAATGTGTGAAATCTCATGAGAATAAAAAAATGAGGCGGTCATGGTAAAATTTTGTTTATTTTTTATTTAAAACCCTTCTAAGTTTTATTTTTATGCACATAAAGCACTTTCTTCATCATTCTGGCATATTTGACCAAGTTACCTAAAAGAAAAAGGTCAGTTGAACTAAATCCGAACAATTTTTTTTTTCAAAATTTAATTAGAATCTTAAAAGATACTGAAAACCACCCATAGAGGACCATTTTCCATTTAGGATGATAATTGCCTTTGACAAAGTTTCATTTAGTTTAGTATTTGGCTACTGATGAGTAACTTAAGCTTATGTTGGATTAGTGATGTAACGAATGTCGCGAATGCTCACACTTGTCCATCATATTAGCGAATGCAAATTCGAATGTCAACTTTTCAAACTTGCCGCCATTTTCTACGTCCATGATAGGCAACCCGATTTGTTGTATTATAATAGGCATTGTCTATCATGATACAACACATCTAGGTTGCCTATTATGATACAGGAAATGGCGGCAAGTAAATGTACAAACTTGTTAAATATTTGCTTTATTTTGTCAATTGTTTTAAAACTGTAAAAAGTGATTTGTTTTGCAAAATAAGTAAACCTATTAGTAAAATTTTACCCTGGTTAATGCGGAACATGCGAAATGCAACGTTTGCAATAATGCATAATCTCGGAAGGAAAGACCTACAACTTCCATGCGAAATCATTTGAAATCCACGCTTAAGATAAATTTAGTGAGATGGAGAAACGAGAAAATGAAAAGCATTCCGATTTAATTATTTAAACACCTTCATCTTTGCAACAGTGCACTAAAATTGACTTTTTAGAATGCGTTACAAAAAGTAACAAAGCGTTACAAAAAGTAACAAAAAGTCTCTGAAAGTTAATAAATTGATATATCAAGTTATAAGTGAATTGAATCCAATAAAAAATAAGTAATCCAATAAAAAATAAGTAATTGGTTCGGATTGGTTTGAAATACGTTTTGGCACTATGAATCACCAATTCATTCCAATTGCATTCATATTCATCCAATTAAGTCAGCGGCTTTAATTGGAATATACCGATCCATGCCTATGCTTGTATCTGTTGGCTTAATCCAATAGAAATGCACCTGAAATGAATTGGTAATTGACAGCACCAAACCTATTCAAACCAATTTGAACCAATTTATTTTTTTAAAATTTGGATTAAAAATACCAGTTGATTTTTTATTCAAAAATAATTAAGATCCCAGAAGAATAAGCGGGTAAAAACCAGAATTCATTTTTAACACAAGAGACAAAAAAATTATTATAACTGAGTAACTTTATTTCTTTATTATTTTTTTGTGTTAGTGAGATATGTATTGATACATATAACTTACTAACACAAAAAAGTAATAAAATATAAATTATATTACTCGGTTGTAATAATTTTTTTGTCTTTCTTGCAAAGGATGTTTGTGGGCATGGTCGAAATCAATATTATTTATGTCAAATTTTATTTATTTTGTCCGCTGTAACCACCATTATCACGCCATCATCCCTAAACCTTACACATATAAACATTTTTTTAAGGTATAAGTACCTACACCCCAGTAAGCACCAAACACTCGGCAAACAGTCGGCCTTCGCTCGGCATAGGCGGTTGACCGGCGGTTCGGCTTGCCCCCAGTCGTCCTGCTTATGGCCCGCGTTATGTTAGCCCGGTACCGTTTGACCATGTTCTAACCAAAGTCGGCCAGAATACGGCATGCCGCTGCAAAATCGTTCGGCTTGCCCTAGCCGGCCCGCTTACGGCCGGAATACGGCCTGCCGCGGCAAAAGCGATACATCTCACGGCTGCTTACGCACGCGAGCTAACTATAAATAGCGATTTGTTGCAATATTTAGTTAGGAAGTGTGCGTCCGTAATGGCATAGCTGAACTATAATCGTTTGGAGTCCCCATCTCCATCCTCATCTGCTCAGTAACGAATAGTGTCTAGCTAGTCGAGTGTGTTAAAGAAGTATCTTGCCATTCAGAAAATTTCAGGACTGAACTTATAGGATATACCTCTCCAGGACATCTGTAGGCTGTTTTTGAATGACCAGGCGGTTGTGGCCGGCACTCGGCCAACTATAGATAGCCGACACTCCGCCGAGTAAACATAGCCGACATTCGGCCAGGCGGATATGCCCGACAGTTGGCCAGGCGGACATGCCCGTTCTACACGCCGGAAGAAATAAGTGTGTCGGAACGCACGCAGCCGATTCGGCAAAACGTATTCGGGCCGTATGCGCGATGGCTAGCTTGTGCTTACTACACAACTACCACTAAGCACAGAAACCCATAGATTATAGAAGAAACCGACTAATAAAAAAACGACATTAAATAGCGTCCAAAGACTTGTTTGTTTCTTTATGATGCGTCTCAACCATTCGCAGATACACGAGAGCCTTGCGATATTTTAAAGTATTGGGAATAATCAGTTAGCATATTCCTTTTTAGAATCTCACACTGGGAATGCCCAATTGAATTCAATTGGAAATTACCTATGGGTAGCTACCACTAAGAAACAGTAGAATCCTAATTGTACTTTTCCATCATAGAAAATACCAGTGAAAACCAATTTCTGTTTTATATCGCTCCCAATTCAGACCTATTGATACCAACCAATACTTCAATTGGTTTTATAAGGAATTAATCGGTCATTTAAAACAGGGACACCTCCCAGTTACTTTCGTCGATTGTGTTAGATTTGTGATATTAGTAAAGTACTAATAAGTACTAATAAGTCTTATGCCCGTCCTACAATTTAAAACCCCAGCAGTGTTTTACTTATTTGTCGAAAATTTGTATGGCAAAGTAAAAGAACCAATAAAATCTTAAAAATAATAATAATAATAATAATAATAATAATAATAATAATATATTTATTTGCCAATAGGATCATATACCATTGTATAAGCATAAGCATAAGCATGGTCAGAAAAAGAACAAAATTGTGAGATAAAAACACTAACTAGACAAATTTTAAAAAGAAATATACAATACATATAGTAAACCTACAAGACTTAGAGAAGTACACATTTACATAAAAATTACCTGTAAAACCAATATTATATTAGATTGATGTATAAATAAAGTAAAAAAGGTAAAAAACAATTGGAGACGAAAAGTTATAATTGCACAAAAAGATAAACAGACAAACAATAAATTAGCATTTAAATTGTATAGTGATAGACGATTATAACGGACATTGTAAAAACTCATTTAGAGAGTAAAAACAGTGGTGTAAAAGTAAGTGTTTTACTTTATGTTTAAAATTTGTTATACACTGTATCTCCTTTATATCATTGGGCAACTTATTTGAGACCGCTATACACCTGTACAAAACACTTTAGTGAAATAACTCAGACCTATGTAATGGAACTCTTAACAATGCACCGCTTCTCATGTTATCAAATATGTCCATGTTTCTAGTAAACAGTCCTGGATTTGTTTTGTAAACAAAAG